CCTTGAGGAAATTTTCTCAAATTAATACATAGAATTTTTATATCTATTACATTCATTGTGGTTTGCATATTTGAAATCTTTTAATGAGAGATCCCTCATTAGCCAGAACTCATAAAGATATTTTCTGTATTCACTTTTTAAATGTTTAACTTTTCTAGTCACACATAAGTTTATCTTTCAATCTGCTTAGAATTTAATATGACATATTGTGGTAGTCAACTTTTTATTAGTGTGATCAAAATACCTGACAAGAACAATTTAGTGGAGGAAAAGATATTTGGGACTCACAGTTTCAGAGATTTAGTCAATGTTTAGCCAACTCCAATGCTCTGGACCTGCTCTGGCAGAACCTCATTATGGAGGGGCATTCAGTCAGCAAGGAAATGGGGAGACAGTACCAGGGAAAGATATAGTTCAAGAGCAAATTCCCAGTGACTTGCTTCCCCTAACTATGCTCCATCTGCCTGAAGTTACCACCTAGTAATCCATTGAAATTCTTAATCCAACAAATGGATTAATCCACTTGATGAGATTACAATTCTCATAATCTAATCAATACACTTCTGAACATTGCTGTGTTGCCTAACACATGAGTGTAGGACATGAAAGATCTAGACACATGATGTGAGGTAAGGATCTGGCTGCAGTTTTCCAGTGTCTGAACATAGTTAATCCATAGCCTGCCTTTCTCCATTGACTAGTAAATCAGACTTTTAAAATATATCATGTTTCCATACAACAATAAAAGTTCCTGTGTCAATGTTGTATTTGTCTGTCTTCTATTCCCAAACCAATTATTTCCAAATTCCTGAGTACATGTTTTAGTTACTAGAGTTTTAGAATAATTCTTGATAACACATTCTGTTCATTGCTTCACAGGTGGTTTGATCCTTCTCATCTCATTGCTATTACATCATTATAAAACCTCAAGTCCCTTAAAAATTATATGTGTGTGTGTGTATGTATATATATATAAAGAGAGAGAGAGAAATTTAAAATTCAACTTTAAAATATATAGATTATATATGTTACATATATGTATGTGTGTGTTGTGTTTCAATGGATTTGATTGACACTAATATAGTTGTTTATTTTAAAAAAGTATATTTCCCGAACTACTCGGGTCTTCATAAAGATTCTAAAATAGTTACTTTTTCAATTTGTGCTAACATATTTTTCTCTGATGAGTTAGTCATACTCCTGAAAGTCTTAGATTTTGTTACATTCGTATAAATTGTATTGGTACAAATTACAATTTTCCATTTTTAGTTGCCCTATGAAATTACTTGCTGACTTTTATATTGATTATGTATCTAGTCACCCTGGTAAACATTGCATTAATTATAAAAATTTGTAGATTCTTTGAAGTGTTTCTTATTATGGACAATTGTTTGCAAATATTGGTGGGTTTTTTCTTGCTTCATTATCTTTAAACATTTAATTAAGTTGGCTTTATTTCCCCTGTGTTTCTATGAATGGCAAGAATTTTTGATATATTATCAAATAGAAACAGAGTCCAAGAGCCCACAAATTTCTTCCTTATTTAGAAACCACTTTGTTGTATATTCTAATATCTGTAAGATGAAGGAAGTCCTTTCTATTTATTGTTATTTAAGATAGGTTGAATGAATGTTTACCAATGTCAAACTTTTCTCTGAATCTATGGAGATAATCTCAGTCTTTTTCTCTTTTAATCAGTCAGTGGAATGATTCCATCATTATTTTCAATCCTCTGTGGTTGCCACAGGAGGGTCAGCTGGATGTTATTTTGCTAAGGGCTTTTAAAAATATATTCATGACACAGATTGCCCTGTCACTTTCCTCCTTCATACTAACCCAACATCCTTTGGTCATTAGTAAGGTTGTATCATCTTCATAGATTTAATTGAGGAGAGCCTTTTCTGTTTTCTCTACCCTCTGAAATTTGTATAAACTAGATAATGATCTGTTTCTCTAGTGTTTAGGTTTTTAAATCATGAGATTCAGTTTTCTTTTTGAAGAATATTTTGAATCTTTGGTTTAAAAATAATTTATTATTAGTTTTCTTTTAATCTGTTAGGAATTTTCTATGTTCAGTCCATTTTATGCTTTTATTAGTGCATTATACTATGCATAATATTGTGGTTCATTTTGACATAGTCATAAATGAATGAAATATTATTTGTTTCATTCAGTCCTAAATACTTCCTTTTTCCCTCCTTACTCCCCTTACTCCTCTTCCTCTACTGAACTTCCTTCTGTTGATTTATAAGTTGTTGTTGTTGTTGTTGTTTTTTTTTTAAATTGGTGCTTTAAAAGATAGATATATATCTTAGAAATTAACTGAGGTATGGTCATATGTCATATGTGTACATAGCACAATTTGGTCATTTTACTTCCATTGTTACTCCTTTTCTCATACATCTCTTGTCCCTTCTGATCTGTCCCCTTTCTCTACTCTAAAGATCTCCCTTTTATTTTTACGGGATTCATGCCTGCCCCACTCCCCCCATTATTTTGATGTATGAAAAAACATTTGACCCTTGACCTTCTGAGTTTGGCTTATTCCACTTAGCATGATGTTCTCCAATTCCATCCATTTAGCAGAGAATGCCATAATCTCATTCTTCCTTATGACTAAGTGAAACTTAGTCAATTCTTCTGTTGATGGGCTTGATCCTATAACTTGGCTATTGTAAATTGCAGTGTGATAAATATTAATGAGTCTGCTTCACCATCGTTTTCTGCTTTCAGCTCTTTAGGATTAATATCAAGGAGTGGGGTAGCTGGGTCACATGGTTGTTTCATTCCTAGATTTTGAGGAATCTACATAATGCTTTCCAGCAGGATTGTACTAATTTGTAGATCTACCAATAATGTAAGAGTGTGCCTTTTCCCCTACATCCTCACCAGGATTTATTATTATTATTATGCTTACTTATTGCTATTCTAGTTAGAGTGAGATGAACTCTAAATGTAATTTTGATTTGCATTTCCCTGACTGTCAAGGATGTTGAACATTTTTTTTACATACTTCTTGACTGTTTATATTTCTTCTTTTGAGAAATATCCACTTAGTTCTTTTGCCCATTTATTGATTGAGTTATTTGGCTTTGGGTGTTAAGTTTTTTGAGTTCCTCATATTTTCTGGATAATAATTTCACGTGGGAGGAGCAACTGATAATTTTTTTCCATTCTATATGCTCTTGCTTTATGTTCTTGTTTCCTCTGCTATGCAGAAGCTTCTTAATTTATTGCTATCCCACTTATTGATTCTCAGTTTTATTTTTTGTACATTAGGGGACTTTTAAGGAAGTCAATGCCTATGAATATATGTTGGAGTGTTAAACCTATAGTTTGTTCTAGCAGTTGCAAAGTGTCTGGTCTAATTCCTAGGTCTTTGATCCACCTTGAGTTGACATTTGTGTAGGGTAAAAAAAATAGGGATCCAGTTTCATTCTCCTACATACGGATACACAGTTTTCCCAGTACCACTTGTTTAATGAATATCTTTTCTCCATTTTGTGATTTGGGTACCTTTTTTTGAGTATCAAATGACTGTAACTATGCTGGTTTGTCTCTGTGTTTTGATGAGCCCACACTGGTTTGTTTTCTTTTCCCTTATATCACTATTGTATAATTTAAGATCCAGTAATTGTATAATTTAATGTCCATCATCACTTCTTCTTTCTCAGTATTACTTTGGATATTCTTGGTCTCTTATTCTTCCAAATAAATTTTAGAACTGTTTTTAATAATTCTGTGAAGAATGTCATTGGTATATGGTTGGGGATTACATTGTATTTATATGAGTTTTCTGGTATTCTGATCATTTTGACAATCTAAATTCTGCCTAAGAACATGAAGGGGGCAGTTTTCATCTTCTAAGCTCTTCCTCAATTTCTTTCTTCAATGTTCTATATTTTAACATAGAGGTCCTTCAACTCCTTGGTTAAATTTATTCCCAAATATTTCTTTATTTTTTCCCAAGGTATTTTCAATGGGATAGATATCCTAATATCTTCTTCAGCAGATTCACTATTGGAATATAGAAAAGCAACTAATTTATGTATACTGATCTTCTGTCCTGCTACTTTCTAAAGTTATTTATCAGCCCTAGAAGTCTTCTGGTGTAATTCTTTGGATCTTCTAAATGCAGGATCCTATCATCATCAAACAGAGACAATTTGACTTATTTTCCTATTTGTATCCCTTTAATTTTCTTTTTCTGCTTGATCATTTTGCATGTGTTTCAAGAACTATGTTGAATAGGATTGGTGAGAGTGGACATCTTTGTTTTGCTCTTGATTTTAGAGGATATGCTTCCAGTTTTTCTCCATTCAGTATAATGTTGGCCTTTGGCCCAGTTTTAAGAAAAGAGGATATGTTTTACTTCTTTAAGCATGAAGTAGCCACGTAAATCACCTGAAATTTTCCTGCACAGATTTGTCTCTGCTCTCCCACTTTACTAAATCATTTATTAATTTAATAGATTCTTTCTATATATTTATACATTGAGTTATCACCCAGTACTGCTTTATGTAATATTTTCCTCTATTATCTTTAGTCTTTGAGATCTCTTAAAGTTGGCCCCTGTGTGTTTGTTTTTAATTTTATACCCTCATTTTTGTAGACTGTTTGTTTTTTGATAAATTTTATTTTTGAACACTTCGCTAAATTTAATGCATTATATACTGCACCAGGCTTATCTTGTAAATATCCTTCCCTGGCCCTAGAACAGCTATTTCTTTAAGCAACCCAGTTTCTTTTAATGGATAATCATATTAGAACTAATTTTAGGTATGTTCATTGATTGTCATTGATTTTTTTCTTGATTGACATTGTTTCCTAGACTGAAGAGAGAAAGGAAATATATGTTTCCTTGGGAATATACACAAACCTGTGCATATTTCTAAACCATATTTATCTACATTAAATCAACTTGAGTGTGTACTGATATATCTAACTCTAACCCACTACTACATGGTCCACTGTGTTTTCTTCCCCTTGTTTTGTTTTCCCTGAATATGGAATACTTCATGAATTTGTATGTCAGCCTTGCACAAGGACCATGCTAATCTTCTCTCTATAGTTCCAATTTTAGTATATGTGCTGCTGAAGTGATCACTCCCCTTGCTTTTTGTAACCTCCTATTTCAACAGTCAGAATACTATATGCCACCACTGCTTATCCATTTGTTTAATTTTTTAGTTACAGTGAAAATGGTAGTTATATTAAGGTTGTTAATCCATAACCCCATCAAAAGCAACTGTAACAAATATAATACAATGATATATTCAGTTCCTCTTTCATTTTATAGCCTCCCTCATTGCCCAAATTCAGTATTTTTTCTCCAATCCATTCTGTGAAGTGTGAACTACATTTGTAATAGAGATAGGTACATATGTCATAGGCTGTATTATATGCAGGTATTGCGGGACCTCTTACATAATTTTTATAAAATTACATAACTAAAGTTCAACTTTTTTATTTCAAATTTTCTGTAGATTTTGGCAAATAAGTACCATTATTTTATATTTGCCACTAGGATACCACAAATAATTGTTTCATTATCCTAAAAAATTTTCTGTGAATCACTGATTGTACCCTTCTGCCAAAAAACAGGGAGCAAGACTGCTTATGAAATATGCAAGTGAGTGGTTGCTGTGATTATAAATTGAATTTGGACATGCCTTGGCTTCTCAGTCATATTTGAAGTTTTTTTTTTCCTTTTTTTATGCATTTTAAACATAGTTATTTTATCTTCTGTGTCTGATAATTCTAATATCTGAATGGTGATATAACTATTTTTGTCTTTCTACTTACTCCTACTTGTAGAAGTTTCCTTCCTCATGAATATAATAAATAATATTATTTTATGTTTCATTGAGTTAACCTGTGAGATTCTGAGAGCTGCACAGAATTTTTTCCCAAGAGGATCTACATAATTAATTTTGGTTTCCAGTAGATTCTGTACAACTAGGGCTGCTTTAACTTAATGCATTCATTGAAGATGAAACCTAACTGCTTATACAAGGCACTTTAGAATTCTGCACTTATTTTAGCTCAGGCTACTGACCATAACTCTTCAGAGGAGGCAGCCATTGTTTTGTCCTGTACCACTCACTGCTTTCACTTCATTAAGGGTCTTTTGGAGGGGACCCTGGGGTTTTTAATAATTTCATGATCATAAAGAAATGTTTTTAAGGATTTTTTTTTTCTAATTTATTTAGGACCTAATTACATGAAATCTGGAAGGTTCTTAAACTATCCACTATCCAATTCTTAAAATTTCTAGAAGAAACCCCTTAAGTTCCACTCACATGGATCCTGAGAACTATATGGAACCTGGCACCTCTAACAGGAAGACAGAAATAGGAATCAGCCACAGCGCTAGTTTTGAGAGTCAGTAATGCATGGATGAAGGTTGTAAATACAGAATCAAAAGTGATATTCAAGGGACATTCAGAATACTTACGTTTACTGAATATCTTTCTGAGGGGCTCTTAGGACCAGGCAGGGAAGATATGCCCTACATAAGATGGGTGCATGAACATTCATTTTGTCCTTTCTTCAGAGAAAGGAAAGTACTTTGTAGATGATGGGAAAGCTGTCATCAATCAATATTTATGTATTTTAGCAATGCCCATGTTCCAAAGTCCAAGTTGTAATAATAGTTCTTAAATTAAGATAAAGCTACATCCATCTTTACAAAGTTTTACATGACTTTTAAGCTTACTTCTTAGGAAATATTAATTTTAATGCGGAAAACAACTCATTGTTTTCCACATCAAGATCTCTGATTCAATCCCTGTTTGTGGTTCCAGATTTACTTCTTACAAGCTTTCCTTTCACCAGAATGCTTCATGTACTCCTTTACATCCGGATATCTGGTAATGCTCTTCTCATGTGAATCTTCCCACCTCCTCTCAGGTAGTGAGGTGCCACACTTACTTTACTTATCTCATACTGTCAGATAGATTCTGCTTCTATTTTTTTTGTCTGCTTTCCAGTCTATAAACTTGTACTTCAGTGCCCAAGATAGTACCTGAACTATAATAGGCAATAAATACTAAAGGATTTGAATGAGTGTCAAAGCAATGAACATGCAATCAAACTTTGTCTATGTCACCATCCTAAAGTTGCCAATAAAACTCAGTGTGTATCCAGCCAGTGTGGTCAATGCTGGACTGAACTATAAAAATTGAATGACACTAAGTGCTTAGTGACCATGTCGTGTCAGGAGTTGGACATTGAGTAGAAGTTGAAGTTCAATAGGATAAACACATGTTTAAGAGGGTTTAGCTAAAGTCCCAAAGGGTTGAATTAGAGACAACTGTGAGGAGAATAAGCATAGAAGGAAGCTTGTGTCCCTGACCTAGGAAACAAATAAAACAATAATATTCTGAGCCATGTGTAGCAGGTATTTGATGGTACAGAATTTAGGTGGACACACACAATTTATCTGACTAAGTGCCACTTTTAAGAGTTAGGAGATATATATATAATAAGTTCAACTCAAAATTATATATATATATATATATATATATATATATATATATATATATATATAATTTTACATATATATATATAATTTTGAGTTGAACTTATCTTCAAAGTTTCACCTAGTGCTGGATATAGTTTTAGTGCCAAAACTACTTCCCCTATGGTAAAATAAAAATTTAACTTCCCCAAAAGGACAAAAAATTAATTACTATTCATTATGTGTTTTATAGATGTTGAGAATATATTAAATATTTCTTGATAAGCTATCCTAATGTATGAATCCAGAACATAAGATCATTAAGAAAGGAAAAATTTCCCTTGCTTTTTGCTTGTATAATCACTATAATGCCCACAAGAGTATAATCAATATTTAAATAAAAATAAAATATGATTTGAGAATGTTACTACCCTGTATATCCCTTTCCTAGGAAACGATTCTAACATGTTTTATTCTTACTTTGATGGTACAAAACATTTATTAATACTCCCTTTTTGTTTGTTTAGATAGTAAGTCTCAGACATTTTCAGTGACATGCCCAAGGATTCACAACTTGTGAGTAATGTATAAGCACTGATTATGGATATTTTTTTCCAAAGCTCATGATAGCTCCTGAAAATGCTATCAGAGCCAGCAAGTGCTGAGAGATAAAGATGTAAACCTAAAAAAAGCAAACAAATAATAGCAACAACAAAAACAGTGCATTCAGTGACCAGAAGTCCCCTAGTCACCTTGGAGAGAGCCTCCTTAGACTAGAAAAGAAAGACTAGAAAGTGAAATGTTTTTTAAAATATTGTAGACTCTTGAAAAAGAAAGTAATCCCCAGTCTGAAACACATAACAATGATGAATCAGTTCTGCCACCAATATTTGCATTCCTTCTACTCATCCTCCTTCTTTTTCTCCCCCCGCTTCTTCCTCATCCTTCTTGTCATTGTTTTGGTTGTTATTCTTTTCTTCAGTAAATATGTCTATTGTTTCTGGAATCATGAAAGCACCATTCTAATCCCAAGGTTTAGTCAGACACCCAGGAGGAGCCTGAGGATGTGAACAGTGTCCAGTGAGGGTCTGTTGCAGCAACATCTGGTGATGGCCTTGAGTCTCATTTTGAATTCCAAAGGCATTAGCATGAAACAAATGAGCCTCTGAATGTCAGAAGTGACCATGTGGATTGTCAGGGCAACATGAATCTAGAAAGTTTACAGAACCAAATAAGCAAAAGACTCAAGGTATGTTTTCTACAGAGGGAGCAAGCCAGTCATAGAAAAGAGCATTAAAGACTGTTGTCCTAGAAACTAGATGGAAAAGGCTCAAACATCATCCCAGCAGAATCATCTGGAGTGTGATAAGGGGAAGATGGCAGATGTCTTTAGCTTTCTTTCACCCAAAGAGATCTGAGCTATGCTTTGATTTCTAAGTCAGAGTTCACTAGTCCTCAAGTTCACAGTCACCGCTCCATAGACGCATAGCTCCACAGACACGTGATTGAATTAAGGCTTTCCCTGTTCAGAGTACATTTGGAAGCTGGCCTTTAAGCATTTGTTATTATTCTTATTTTGGCCATTGCTGTCCAAGATTATTGGAATCTGAAAAGACTGTTTCAGGCCCTGCAAAGCTGTGTGAACTTTGGCAAAGAGGGAGGGACATCTCACATCTAAACCATAAACCTAGGGCTTCTGACATGATATGAATGGCAAAAGGGAACATCTCTGAGTTTTTTCTGATCTGCGGGGGAAACATTTAATTTTTTTTTTTTTTACCATTAAGACTGATGTTCTTGTAGATTTTTTTAGTTGTTTTGATCAAGTAAAGGAAGTTCTCTTCTATTCTTAATTTACTGGGAATTTTTATCACAACTGGATATTATATTTAAAGATGTGGTTTTTTATCAACGTTTGATGTGATCCCTTAATGGAATTCCTTTAGGGTGTTGATGCAGTGGATTACATGAATTGATTTTCAAATGTTGAATTGATCCCACTCCTGGTGATGTACAACTCTTTGTATACATTGCTGGATTCACTTTTTTAATGTTTTATTGGAGAGTTTTCTATTGTATTTTTGAGAGATGCTGATCTGCCATTCTCTTTCTTGTAACATTTACATCTGGTTTGGTATTGGCATTACAGACCTCATAGATTCAGTTAAGAAATGCTCCTCCTGACTATATCTCCTAGAAGAGGTTGTAGAGCATCGGCATCATTTTGTGTTTAGACATTTTGTAGAATTTACCAGTGAACCCTTCAGACAAAGGTGCTTTGTTTGAGGGAGATCAGGAAGTATTAATCCAGTTCCTGTAGTAGAACAAGACTACTCAGTTTAGCAATGTTTTTCGCATGTGAGATTTGGTAGTTTATCTTTTTCAAGGAATTGTTGTCTAAGTTACAGAATTTGTTTATGATGTTAATTTTATCCTCTCAGTGCCCATAAGTTCTGAAGTGGTAACTCCTCTTTCATTTCTCATACTGGTTATTTGTGTATCCACTCCTTTTTCTGTTTATCTTAAATAGGATTTATCAATTTTATTTAATCTTTTAAAAATCAGCTTTTGACTTTGTTGATTTTCTCTGTTTTTCTGTTTTTAGAATCATTGATTTATGTTCTAATTTTTATTATTCCCATTTT